GGATCATGACCTGAGCCGAAGGCAGTCGCTTAACCGACTGAGCCACCCAGGTGCCCTGGTTAGTTATTTCTAAGTACCAGTCTTAAATAGTGGTTTAAAAGCGATCTATTGGGGTGCCTGTGTAGCTCAGTCAGTTGAGTTCCGACTCCTGATTTCGGCTCAGGTCATGATCTCAGGGTTGGGAGAGAGTGTCCCAAGTTGGGCTCCATGCTGAGCTTGGAGCTTGCTTAAGATTTTCTCTCCCTGCACCTCCTTACCCCCCGCGTTTTCTGTCTTTCTCTCTCTCAAAAAAAAGGATCTATGTCAACATTTGGTTGCTTGAGAAGTCGTTCCTAAAATTCGAAGCCAGAATATCCCTTCTTTAGCTAAAAAATGTCCTTTGATGCCATACTTATTTGGCTGAAGCCAAGAGTCTGTCCTTAAATGAATTTATAATTCTGCTGTCATCTGAGCAAGAAGTCTGTAATGAAGCTGAGGGACTAGATCACAGAGTGTTGGTATAGATAAAGATTTGTGCTGGAGGACTTGATTCTCTTCAAACATTTCATCAGTTAGTGTTTAGAAGGTCTTAAGTTATTGACCGTAATTTGAACTTCAAAGCTTTACTGTGTTGCTTCATAGCATTACCCACATCTAACCTTTGTGCATGTTTTCACTGCTGATTATTATACACAAAATTTCATACTTATTACTGAAGTACTTTTTTTTTTTTTTTTTAAGATTTTATTTATTTATTTGAGAGAGCACGCATGAGCAGGGGTGGAGGGGCAGAGGGAGAGGGAGAAGCAGACGCCCTGCTGATCAGGTACCCTGACATGGGGCTCAATCCCAGGACTCAGATCATGACCTGAGCCAAAGGCAGATGCTTAACTGACTGAGCCACCCAGGTGCCCCTGAAGTAGTTCTTTATTTAAAGTAGTTTCTTTCTAACACCATCCCCCCCCCACAACTTTTCTCTGCCAAACAGGACTGTTGCTTTTTGTTTTATACCAAACCATTCACTTACAGAATACTCTCCAGTTTGTTGATTCAGGTCAGATCCTATTATAACAAATGCCATTGTCACAGGGATCGTTAGGAACATAAAAACTTTTGGAGCAAGGTATTTACAAGATGCACTTCTAACAAAAGAATTCAGTCAGTCCCTTGGAGCTTTTGGTAATGAACTTGACCACTTTGACTGTCAGTGGCATATCTGTAGAAATCCACGCCAAAGTTGTTTTGTCACATACCACTTCTTTCTCCATACGTGAATTCCTCCATAGAGACTATACATTGGATAGGGCTTTGTTTAGATATAGTTACCTAGATTTCTTCACTGGGGTTATTGTGTATGCCAGGGCCTTTGACCCTTACTTCAGGTGCTCTCTTCCCTAGCAAGGCAGTCTGATCCAGTGGCGGTGTTCAGTCCCATTATATATATGTTGCTTTCGTAGCTTCTACTTTTAGGCTGGGAAAGTTCTCATTTGCAGCAGTTCACATTGCTCTTTCTTGCTTTGCATTTATTTGTGAGACCTCAACTTGAATCTTTTTTGTTTGTTCTCCTCATTTAGCTCGTCACCCGTATACCAGTCTTCGGGAGAATGATTTAATCACTCGCCTGCTTGTCCCTACAAAAGCATCAATAGCCAGGAGCAAAAGTGCTGTTTCTTTGTCAGTTCCCGGGAAAGATACTCCAGGTAACAGGCATAGGGCAGAAAGCCTGAAAGTGTTAGTATTTGCACTGAAAAAGCAGGCATGTCATTTGATTTGTTGCAGTAAGGCATAAAAATAATTTGAATCAGTAGTTTCCAGATGACTGATTTTACCCAACATTTTATGTTGCATATTTATTTTTATGCCTTCTGGCATGGTAGATTAGTTATCGGGGTGATAGTTAATTGATAGGATGAGATAAGGTAGTTGTGGTGTGGTGGTGGTTAAATTTTTAAATGATTTTTTGAAAGACTTTTTTAAAGATTTTATTTATTTATTTGAGAGCGAGCACAAGCAGGGGGAGTGGCAGAGGGAGAGGGAGAAGCAGGCTCCCCGTGGAGCAGGGAGCCCCACGCGGGACTCAATCCCAGGACCCTGAGATAATCACCTGAGCTGAAACCAAGAGTTGGATGCTCAACCGACTGAGCCACCCATGTGCCTCAGCCCTAAATATTTAAAGATCGATGGGTTTCTTGACCTGTGCTTCAGTGTGCCATCCAGTAAAAGGTACTGGATGTTAAGAGTATCAAAAATTTTTATAATATCAAGGGAGAAAGTTTCCTACTCTACCCTCCTTTTTTCCCTAAAATGTGGAAGAATGACATTGAGCTGCTCTTCAGCTTTTTATTAATAGCTAGTAAAATAAAACCCATCTTCAGGCTTATGTGGATTTTCTCACTTATAGGTCACATAGAGTGTTAGACATGCCTGTGGGTAGTAAGAAGTCCTCAGTAGTGGAGAGCTCAAATGCACTGTTCCCATCATTCTTTTATTTATTTATTTATTTATTTGAGAGAGAGCACATGAGACGGGGGAGGGTCAGAGGGAGAAGCAGACTCCCCGCTGAGCAGGGAGCCTGAACCGGGACTTGATCCCAGGACTCCAGGATCATGACCTGAGCCGAAGGCAGCCGCCCAACCAACTGAGCCACCCAGGCACCCTATTCCCATCATTCTTTGTCTTTTTTCCTCCACTTTTTTCTTTCCAGAATTTATCCCACCACCTTTATTCTTTTATTTTTTCTTCTGTTCATATTCATATGATTAGTAAAATAAATTACAGTGCTATCATAGACTTTCTGGTAGTGCAGCTTTATTTGTTTTGGTTCAGATTCCTGACTTTGTTTTTGCCCTGTTATATGTATGTCACATTATTTTCTGCCAGTCTTCCCCCAGTCTTCTGTAAGATATTTCTTGTATTAACTTTCATTCTTGTTTAATAGTCTCTTACTTCCATCAAAAATGTAATATTTTATCTTAAATTTCTATACCTATACTTAATATGTTTTTTGTAGCACAGATTGTCAGTGTTAAATAATGTGACTGTTTAGGTACGTATAGATATGTCAATAAAATACATTTTCCACCAAAAGTGGGGGACTAAAAAATTTAAGTCAGTCAAATTGTTTATTCATGAGTAGCCAGTCTTTGGTAATTTGTTCTATTTTGATTATTTGATGAGATCATGTAAAAGTTTACCACTCAGATTTAAAGAGGAGGTGACAAATTTACCAAGTCTTACAAAAGCTACCACCAAATACTTTCTAAAAAATACTTTTCTTTATTATACAAGCAATAAATATTTAGTGTAGAAAAAATTTTAAATGTAACTTATTATCCCAGTAACTCACTGGTAACTGAATATTTTGTTTATATGTTTTCTTCACAAAATGGGATTGTAACCTGTTTTTGTTTTTTTGATCTGCTTTTGTCTAAATATATACCGTTTTCCTGGGGGCACCTGGGTGGCTCAGTTGGTTAAGCATCTGACTTCGGCTCAGGTCATGATCTCTGGGTCCTGGGATCCAGCCCTGCATTGGGTTCCTCACTCAGCGGGGATTCTCCTTGTCCCTCTCCCTCTGCCCCTCCCCCATGTGTGCAGGCACTCTCTCAAATAAATTCTTTTAAAAGTATATATATATGTATATACCATTTTCTATGTCTAGAAATTGTATATTATTACTGTGAATGACTGCCTTAGTATTTTCTAAATTTCCTGTTGAATATTTGGATTATAGTTTTGTTTCAATATTATCAATAATGCTGTAGGTAACCTTATTACATATGTTTTCATGTCTGGGTTTTTTCCTAAGAATAGATCTAGAAGTAAAATTGTGGGAACAAAAAATAGGTCCTTTTAATGGCTTTTGATGCCTTATTGCCCCAATCCCTCCTACCAGGAGCATACACAGATCCACACCCCACCAGCAGTGTGGGGCTGCCTGGTTCTCAACATTGGTACTATCACTTTCTTTCCTCCTCTGCTGGTACTAAGTGTTACCATTTTTATCCATTTATTAGGCAAAAAATATTTAGATTGTTAAAGATGGAAGAGACCTTGAAAATCTAGCCCATTCTGATTAATGTCTTATTATAGTTTTTAGTATGGGGGAGAAAGTGCTCTTTTTTTTTTTTTTTTTTTTACATTAAAATAGCCATATATGGAGTTTCTTACATAATCACTTGAAATGGTAAGATCTCTGGCCCTGGTGAAGTTGTTCTAGATCACTTTTTAAAAGTATTGAATATCTTGTGTTATGAAAATCATTCAAAACCATAGTATGATTAAAAGAGAACTGGCTTATTGCAAACATCAACTTTGGAGAAGCATCCTCTTTTCATCTGTAGTGGATTGTTGCTTTCACAACACCTCTTAATGGTGGCGCTTCTGAAGTAACCAACTTCGAGATGCTTCTGTCCCTTGTCTGGGTTCCTTTTCACTAAACACTTAGTGTTGTGGGTAATTCCTGCAACTTACTAATGAACATAGGCTCTCTTTTTTCTCTTCCTGTTCTTATACTGTTACGTGGTGCATTTCTGTCTTGTCTGGTTTCTGAGCGTATGCAATTTCATTCTGTCCTCATTCACCCACAGGCACCCACAGTACTTTAATCCAGTATATAAATATGCCCTTGCGTAGCCGTAGCAGTGACGAATTGAAGAATACCACAGTGCTTCGCAAGGCAGCCGTGGCAGGGCCTCCCCAGGAGAAGGTGGACACGGCCCCCCATGTGAGTGTGGAAGCGGCCCCC